CTCCCTTAGCTGTGAAGAAAAGGACACTTAGATTTTAAAAGTTTGTCAGTGTAAGATCTAATATTAAACAAAAATATTTTACGCAGTTGAATCAGATCGACGTCGTAAACTACAAGTTATTTTAACGTCAAGACTTAAAACGAAACTTACTGGTTTCCAGTTCAGTTGTAACCTTGATATTTATAGTTTAGTAAGGTAGACAAATTTGTAGGGAACAAGCAAAGAATTTAACAACAGTTGCATCCCTTTGGGAATATCATACATGTGTGGACATTTTTTCAAAGACCACGTGTGTATCATATTAAACATTTACACAGTCTAGTTCATTTTACAAGCAGTTTAGTAAATTCTTTTAAGAATCAGTTAAAATTAAAGCCAGAGGAATACAAAATATTAAAACCAAATTGTATTCAGATTAAAACATACGCGTAATTACAGCCTAAACAAATGACATACATGTCAACTGATATATTGTCCAAAAGAGTCATTCAAATTGTCATAACCGTTCTAGCTTTTAATGAAATTTAAAGTGAAATGTGGAAGCAATCACGTTTCAAAAATAGATAATACTTTGAGAAATTGATAAAAATAAAAGAGCAATCTACAGCTTATAACACCGAGGATCAATTAAATATTTTGAATACCAAATGTTAACGCAAACGTAGCAAGAAAGATAGTTGTTACATAACGCTGAGAAAAAGATCCTCTTCAGTGAACTTGAATTTATAACCGCCTCCGTGGTCGAGGGGTTAGAGTCGATGACTTTTAATCCAGTTATCTCTCTGGCGTGGGTTCGATACCCAGGAGATGCTTTGGTAGTTAAGCACGGAGGAAGGTAGTCTAGTACTGGTGTAACTCTCCAGGAACGATGGTTAGGAAACTACCCGCCTATATGACTGAAATACTGTTGGGAAAAGGCGTAAACTGAAACAAACAAACAAACAAACACAAACAAAAAGTTCTTCATATATTTTTTTTATTTTTTTCCTTGATCAAAATTGTATTTCCTTCGAAAAGGTTACATAAAGTGTGTAAAATTAAATTGATTATGCAAACCTTTCATCTGTTACCTGAAAAGACTTAAGCTACCAAACAAAAACAAGTTTCACCGTACGTAATCGTTTTGGGCTGATTTGGAATAGTTCCCCGTTCCTGAACTGATTTGGATTTTTTTCACCGGATTGATTGAGATAAATAGGATTTTCTTACATTGTCAATCTCAAAATCAAATTTATCTTAATCAATCCGGTGAAAAAATGCAAATCAGCTGAACGGGGAAATATCCCAAATCAGCCCGATACGATTACGCACCGTGAGTTTGAGTTAGGAGTTTTTGGTGAAATATATTTTTAATCTTTCACTTACTTTCACATACATTTGCAAACATTTATGCTACAGTTGTCGTAAGGCTTGAATTGATGAATGCAATTCTTTTGGCATTTGGTACTTCCAAAGATCATACTTCAATGCAAGTTCAATGTTTTTTTGATAAATAGAAGATAAAATAAAAAATATAATAGTTAATAAAGTCTTACAAAATGTAGTTTTTAATGTTAAATATTTGAACTAGTGTTACACCCAATACGCGTTTTGGACTGTCGTTTGCATTGACTGATGATGTTCTTTCATAAATAATGTATTTGATTTTAATAGCATAACACTTATTATAAATGCATTATTGATTGTTTAGTTCAATAGCTAACTATACAAAACCTAATCGTCGGAACCCTTAAGTACGAATGGCGCCGTACTACTTTCACCAATGTCACGAGTACGCCTTGGTCACTGGATATGACTGCTGCCAGACATTGTCTAAATGTATATGACAGGTAAAATTTGTAAACACATGAATAATTAACGTTAATAAACGCTGTACTTCCGGTTATTCAAAAAGTAAAGGCGCAAATTTTGTTGATTTGAAAATAAAATGTAAATTCATGTATTAAGCATATTTGTAACGTGGGATAGAACGATCGAGTGATGAAAAGCAATATTTGGATAAATATTTGGATAAAATAAAATGTGAAAGTGTTATATATCGGTGGGATTAAGATATAATTGTGATATTCAAAACAAGACGGTTACCCCACCCACACCATCAAACCATTGAACTATATTTGAGCCATCAAATGCCTGCAAAGACAACAAAGACAACAATCAAGAGGAAACGAAATAAATCTTCTCCAGATCAGAAAAACTCTCAAGTTAGTCAAGTAAGTCTAATTAAAAGACATAAACTTACGTATCAATCAGACACAGACTCTGAATATCTTAGTGCAATTTCGGATAATTCGGATATTTCTGATTGTTCGGACACTGAAAAAGAACCATTAGTTATGTGCACAAAGGAAGATTTGGAAGAGGTAGTGGGCAAAATGTTCCAAAAACTAAAGGTAGAACTTGTCAATGAATTAAAAAGGAAGCTTACAAACGATGTTGAGAAAATTGTTGAAATTAAAACTAAATCTCTTCAAACAGAAATCCTAGAGTTGAGAGGTGAAATAGATCATCTTCGCAAATGTGTCCGAACTGCCAATAGTGAAAATGATGATCTAGAACAATATGGGAGGAGAATGATGCTAACAGTATCAAATATTCCTGGTGATACAGGAAATTCTCAAGAGAATGTAGAAGAAAAGATACTGCAATATGCTAATAATAATCTGGAACTCAACCTAACAACAGATGACATTGACAGAGCGCACGGATTTGGCAAGCACAACAGTGACATGGAAAGAAACAGGCGGGTGATTGTAAAATTCACCAATTCAAAGGCACGCCAACAGGTCTTCGATGCTAGGAAAAAAACCGGAAATGGCATCTTCATACAAGAGTCCCTGACCAGAAAACGAGAAAGCATCGCTTATGAAGCCAGGAAACTTAAAAGGGAACACAAACTAGTAAATACATGGGTTGCAGGTGGTAACATTTATGGAATAATGTGTGTCAAAAACAAGGAGACAAAGATTATGATCAGAAGTATGGAAGCGATACAACAAATCAGAGAAGGTATTCTACCAAAATATCAATTACCATCATATCCATAAACAATTAAAAAGACAAACAAAGTAATAAAACTTATATGGCATTTAAATGTCAAATAGTCAAACAGTAACGTTTTTGTTTGTTTACATTCTATTTATAGCGATACGAATTATAGCTATTTATAACTGATGTATTTTTAAATACCTGGTTTACCAATTTTAAAATTAGACAGTTATTCTAAAAATAGATTATTCGGCTACCTGTCACAGGTGTACAGTATGGTTTACAGTCCGTGTTAATATTCTTTATATTTTTGCTTCTTTTTATACTCAAAAAGTAAACAGATCCTTTTGAAAAGTCAGTTATCATTATGCAAACATACTCTTGATCAAACATTTAATGTACCTCATACATTTTAATAGGTACATATGAAACAATTTTGAAGTTAATGTTATCGCGCGAGCGGATCTTGTGCAGTATTGTTATAATAAACTAACTATAGATGTTTCTTTTCTTTTTTGATGATTCATATCCAATTTTTTTTTTATTTTGTCTTAATTTCTGTCGTTTTCTTTGTAATAAATATAGTGTAAACTTTTTTTTTTTGAAAACATAGTAGAAAAAGACAACAAGAAACTGCAATAACTGTTTATGTATGGCCTTACATCGATATGCTTGAACGAGCGAATAAGGCGTGATTTTTCAGCATGTACAGAGTTTTCTTCTTTCTTTTTTTTCCTTTACATGTAAAAAATGAGTTTTGTTCATGTGTTTTTTTTCTGTTCTATTTGTGTAAGAAAGCGTTAATTTATTTTAATAATAAGATAAAATATCTTGATAGGTCTAGTTTAGAAAGAAAGTATATAGTTTTTCTCCTGGTTATCTTCTATCCTTCGCCTTAATCGGGAAGGAGTTTTACTTTCAGTGGGATGGTTAGACTCACTGGGTAAAATATGGTATACAATATCCTGTGAAGCTACCAGTATGAATTTCTATTACTGTCTATCCAGCTATGTTATTTATTATAATATTATATTTTGTGTATCTAAGTGACCTGTTATACTTTTTAGGTGTCAAACAAAATACAATTATCTTTATTCTTTGTAACACAAAATTAACTTTTTTGTTATGTTTTCCCGTGTTTATTCAAACAAGCCTGAAGAAAAAAAAATATTAAAAATATTGCATCTAATATATTTATAATAATTATCCTACGTACTATTTTCTGAATTTTCTTCGTATGTTGTTAATCCAATTTAGTTGTTTTAATTATTCTTCAATTTCTTTTCTTTCTAAAACTGTTGCTGTATACTTATTGTTGTGTGTCGGTCGTCACCGGTTGCTCTCCATTAACAATTTAATTATAACGATCCCATTGTTGCCTGCCTGGACAATGCCACTTACATACCGAAATGATTATAGTTAAAGACTTACTGTTATGGCGGGCAATTGCGGGGTCGTGTGATTATGAGCAGATAACTCATGATGTAAGACGTATGTACAACAATTGTCTCCCTTTTATTACAGTTTTATTACATTTTTACTTTTTATATCTACTACTTAGAGCAGGCGACATTGAGTCAAATCCAGGCCCCGAGATTAGTAAGGAAAATTGTTTAACTATATACCATCAAAACATTCGTGGCATTAGAAGTAAACTAGACTTTGTAAATGACAACTTTCTCGATTATGATATTTTGTGTTTTACGGAAACAAAGTTGGATGCAAATGTTCAAGATAACAACTTAATTTTACCGGGGTTCGATCATATGTTTCGTAAGGATATTTCATGTCATGCTGGGGGGTTATTAACTTATGTTTCCGCTTTTTTAAGACCAAAACGTGTAGATGTTTTGGAAAACATCCTTCCAGAATCGCTTTGGATAGAAATTAAAGACAAAAAACATTCATATCTATTATGCACTTTATATAGGCCCCCTCATAGTACGGTCGATTTTTGGGATAAATTAAATAGGTGTCTCGAACAGGCTCTAGAGATGCAAAACCACATAGTCATGGTAGGAGATATAAATGAAGACCAGCTGAATTGTTCGAATCATAAACTTCGCGACGTGTTATTACTGAACAATATGACCAACGTTATTCAGGTACCAACTCGTGTTACACCAACTACCAGTACATTAATTGATCCTATAGCAACAACAAATAACATTCATGTTTTAGATTCGGGAATTTTCGAAACACCAAACGAGATAAGTGATCATTTCGGTACCTACATTTTTTTCAAAATTGAATTTGATTCAAATAAATCATTTAAAAGAAGAGTATGGAACTACAATAACGCTGATTTTACTACATTTAATACCCTTATTCGTGATTTCGATTGGTCGTTAATTATCAGTGAAAATATTGATATTGCATGCGAACATTTTACAAACACTTTTTTAGATATTGCTAAGCGATGCATTCCTACGTATATAGCGTCAGTAAGGCCTAAAGATAAACCTTGGTTTAATTCCGAAATTCGAAAAACTACGCGACTTAGGGATAGACAATTTCATAAAGCATTGAATTCAAATAACGTACATGACTGGAATAAATACAAAAAAAACAAGAAATAAGGTAAATAATATGAAAAAACATGCCAAAAACGTTTTCTACAACAATTTAGAATTTTCACTTAACGATCTTAATAGCAATGATTCGCGCAAATATTGGAAAACGGTAAAAATGCTCGTCAAAGAAAACTCTTCTGATTCGGGAAATATTCCACCTCTTATTAAATGTAATAACACAGATATATCATATTCTGACACAGAAAAAGCAAATACGCTGAACGATTTCTTTGTTTCAATTTCAAATATTGACGATTCAAACACTGAACTTCCGGATTTTTCATTTAAAACACATTCAAAACTTAATGATTTTTTAATTACAGAACAAGAAGTTACCGATATATTAGATAATCTTATCATCAATAAAGCTTCGGGTCCCGACGAAATTAGTCATAGAATGTTGAAAGAAACATCTAAATCAATATGCAAACCTCTTTGTTTACTCTTTAATCGATCTTTAAATGACAATATGTACCCATCTAATTGGAAACTTGCTCATGTTATGCCTTTATATAAGAAAGGAAATAAAGATGAAGCATCTAATTACCGACCAATATCACTAATAAGTTGTGTCGGAAAAGTAATGGAAAGAATAATTTTTAAACATATATATATATAACTATTTTAATGAACATTCACTTATTTTTCAAAACCAATCAGGCTTCCTTCCAGGCCACTCCACTATGTATCAATTAATAGACATTTATAACCAAATTTGTAAATCCTTTGATACTAAGGAATCAATATGTATAATTTTTTGTGATATTTCAAAAGCTTTTGATAGAGTTTGGCATAAAGGTTTAATTTTTAAGTTAAGACAATATGGAATTGAAGGAAACTTAATAAACTGGTTGGAAAATTATCTAAAGAACAGAAGTCAAAAAGTTTTTGTTAATACTTCGTTTTCTTTACCTAGGTATTTATACGGTGGAGTCCCCCAAGGCTCTGTCCTTGGGCCTCTTTTATTTTTGATTTACGTAAACGATATAGCGGATTCCTTTTTAAGTGTAACAAGACTCTTTGCAGACGACAGTTCTCTTGCAGTAACATCAAACAATGTAAACACAATCGAAGAAACTATTAATCACGACTTCGATAACATTCTTACTTGGTCAAAACAATGGTTGGTTAACTTTAACCCAGCAAAAACAGAAGCGATGTTCTTTACATATGTCAATCGAAATCGACCTAATTTATACTTTAATAATGTTCAACTTAATTTTGTAGACCACCATAAACATCTAGGGTTTACTTTTAGCCAAGACGGTAACTGGCATGAGCACATCGCAAATATAGTATCATCTGCATCAAAAATACTAGGTTCAATGAAACTGATAAAATTCAAAGTTAAAAGAAATACTCTTAATCATATATATGTTTCCTATCTTCGTCCAAGGCTTGAATATGCATCAATTGTATGGGATAACTGTACACAATATGAAAAAGAAACTTTAGAAAAACTACAATATGAAGCAGCAAGGGTTGTAACAGGTCTAACTAGATCTGTTTCAATTCAAAATCTTATAAACGAAATAGGATGGCTTTCATTAGACGACAGGAGAAAAATGCAAAAACTTATTTTAATTTATAAAGAAAAACATAACCTTTTGCCGTTATATTTATCACATTTATTCCCACCAACAGTCGAACATGTTTCCTCACATTTATACTCGCTACGAAATAATGCTAATTATGCTTCAATAGCAAGAAGAACAGAAATTTATGCTAAGTCTGTCATTCCGTCCTCTATACAACTATGGAACGAAATACCAGCCCATATTAGAGAATCAGAAACATTATCAATATTCAAAAATAAGCTCAAAACATTATATAAAGCCCTTATTGTGCCACCATTTTATATCGAAGGCGATCGTGTATCTGCTGTCTACCATACTCGCATTAGAAATAAATGTAGCAATCTGAATTCTGACCTTTTTACAAATCATCTTACTTCTAGTGCAGCATGCGATTGTGGTACTCTAATTGAAGATGCCGAACATTTCCTATTCCAATGTCGAAAGTATACAATACAAAGAAGAAAACTATTTACAAACACCAGAGAATTCCACCCGCTTAGTACTAAAAAGCTACTCTTTGGCATTGAAAATTTAACCGACTTTCAAAACAAAATCTTATTTCAGCATGTTCAAAATTATATCAAAGAAACAAAGAGGTTTACATAAAACGTTACTACATTGTTTTTTATTGTAATTAACTATAACAAGTACTTAAGGTTATTTTTGCTCATTACAAACAAATGGGTATCTGCTTAACAATTAATGATGGGGATTGTTGGTGGTAGTGTCGACACACAACTGATACAGCAACATTTCTTTTCTTGTTTTCTGTTCTTCCCTCTTCTATCTTTTCATCTTAAAATGAAAATGTATTGTTACTTAATGCATATTTACTTTAATGTATAACTTTCTTTACTTTATGAAACTGATGTTAATCATTTACAGGGAAGGGCCCACGATAATGTTGTAAAAACTTTTGGCCCAACCCTTTTGTATATTGTGTAATTTTGTTAATGTAAATGAATTGATGTATATTTATATATGCAATAAAATATTATTAAACTAAACGTTAAACAAATGAACATATGAATTATAAATGACTTACAAATTTGTCTAATATGTTCGTCTAGAGACACACTTACATGCATCGTAAAAAAAAGGAAAATAGACATTATTAACATATATACATGCATATTTCATTTTATTCTGCTAATGTACTGAATATCTTCTGCAAAGTACGTCATAGACTGATTATGCTTGTTGAGATATAAAGCAGAGAAATCTTGACATACTAATTATAGAAATAAGGCGACATTTTAAAAAGTTATACGATATTGTTAATACAAAATACTAGTTATTATGCCCCCACAGAGTGGGAGCATATAGCGTTGCACTTGTCCGTCCGAGTGTCCGTCCGTACGTCCGTCCGTCCGTACGTCCGTCCGTCCGTACGTCCCGAAATCTTGTGAACGCAACTCCTCTTAAACCGGATGGAAGATTTTGCTTAAACTTCCAGGGATGAACAACCTTAATGTGTAGATAGTAGTAAAGGAAGGAATTTTTGCTGCGACCAAATTTAACAGAATTGTGGCCCTTGTTGATTTTTACACTTTATACTATGTAGAAATTTTGTGAACGCAACTCCTCTTAAACCGGATGGCAGATTTTGCTTAAACTTCCAGGGATGAACAACCTTAATGTGTAGATGGTAGTAAAGGGGGGAATTTTTGCTGCGACCAAATTTAACAGAATTATGGCCCTTTGTTGATTTTTTCACTATATACTAAGTAGAAATTTTGTGAACGCAACTTCTCTTAAACCGGATGGCAGATTTTGCTTAAATTTCCAGGGATGAACAACCTTAATGTGTAGATGGTAGTAAAGGGAGGAATTTTTGCTGCCACTAAATTTAACAGAATAATGGCCCTTTGTTGATATTTTCACTATATACTATGTAGAAATTTTGTGATTTGTGAACGCAAACTCCTATTAAACGGAAACAACCTGGCAGATTTTGCTTAAACTCCGCAGGGATGAACAACCTTAATGTGTTTTAGATGGTAGTAAAGGAAATGAATTTTTGCTGCGACCAAATTTTAACAGAATTATGGCCCTTGTTCATTTTTTCACTATATATACTAAGTAGAAATTTTCGTGAAACGCGACTCCTCTTAAACCAGATGGCAGATTTTGCTTAAACTTCCAGGGATGAACAAACCTTATGTGTAGATGGTAGTAAAGGGGGAATTTTTGCTGCGACCAAATTTAACAGAATTATGGCCCCTTGTTGATTTTTTCACTATATAAACTAAGTAGAAATTTTTGTGAACGCAACTCTCTCTGAAACCGGATGGCAGATTTTGCTTAAAACTTCCAGGGATGAACAACCTTAATGTGTAGATGGTAGTAAAGGAGAATTTTTGCTGCCACCAAATTTAACAGAATAATGGCCCTTTGTTGATTTTTCACTATATCTATATCTATATAGAAATTTTGTGAACGCAACTCCTATTAAACCGGATGGCAGATTTTGCTTAAACTTCCAGGGATGAACAACCTTAATGTGTAGATGGCAGTAAAGGAAGGAATTTTTTTGCTGCGACCAAATTTAACAGAATTATGGCCTTTTGTTGATTTTTTCACTATATACTATGTAGAAATTGTGTGAACGCAACTCCTCTTAAACGGGATGGCAGATTTTGCTTAAACTTCCAGGGATGAACAACCTTTATGTGTAGATGGTAGTAAAGGAAGGAATTTTTGCTGCGACAAATTTAACAGAATTATGGTCCTTTGTTGATTTTTAGTTTTCAACTTGTGGCACATGTAGTCCAAAAAATATTTGACCTAGAGTCTTAAGATTGACGGAACATTGGCGTGTGGGGGCATCCGTGTCCTATGGACACATTTCTAGTTTAAAGGTGGTTCCACTTTGACGTTAGTCGATGTCCTGCTATAACAAAGAAATAAAAAAATAAGAAAAATATGTACGTTTTGGATATATTTAATTTACATTTTTATTTTAAAATGTTGTTCAGTTGTAGAAACAATCGCATTTGCAATAATTTAGTTCTGGAAGGAATAATAGCTTTGACATAACTGCCTTAAATTTGTTGTATTATATTATATCTTGTTATAGTATTTTTCATGTAAAAGGTACTTGCGGGGGAAGTAAATCTTGGTTATTGTTATAAGCACAGATAGGTGCAGTTGATATTCTAAAAAAATTGAAAAAGGGTAAGTATGATTTTGGGGAAATAAAGCGCATTGAAAACGAGTTATTTTGATTTTACGAGTGGTATAAATAAGATTGCAGAGTGTTTTGATGTGTTTTCTCTTTTGTGTCATAGGCATAAATAAAAACTCCTGTCGTTTCAATATGTAAACCCTAGAAGCAATGTAATTAATGTACGAGCATATAAATTTATTATTATCCCTTTCGCTGTCGTCACAGTATGTAAACCCCAAAAATATATAACCAATGCACAAGCATTTTTTACTTTTATTCCCGACAGACAGTGCGATAACCTGAGTATGGGTAACTAACACCTACATTCCAATTAACGCGGTAAACGTTTCGTTTTAACTCTGACACATTTTCATTTTCAACAAAAAGGTCGTTCCCTAAACTATGATACAAATACACTTTAAAGGAAACATATGAATACTGTGCACATAGACTTCCTTATCTTCATAATATTTTCCTATGACTGTTTCTGAAATCAAATGATTTAAATTTACTATTTGATTTAACTATGGATCTTATGTAATGTTATTTAATATGATTGCATTCTGACTTCTACAGAATAGCGTTATCTATAACGTTTTATTACCACTTCATTTAATAATTCATCGTTCAGCAAACATTTTGCGGGAGTCTTGCTTCGAGACATTTTTTTTTAAATGGACATGCTAGTAAAATCATGCATTTAATGATTTATTTTTAAAGGATATGATATTGATTGAAAATATGTCGTATTGTCGAATATTTTTTCATTAAAGTTTAAATCCGCGCAATAGCAATATTATGATATATATTTGATTTATTACTTTATACAAACATGAACGACTCTCGTTTCTACAAAAATGAAAATTTTATCAAAGTTTCGGAAGGTGGATTTTATATTTTGAAATTAAATTAAGATTAATTGGCATTTATTTTTGGCATCCTATATTTCAAATATGTATCACATAATTATATGATATGTATTTATCATCTATATTACTTCTATATTATGTACCACGTATACAAGCTATATACAGATATAAATTCTAAACAGTTATTTAATAGTCTTACACACTATTGACCTGTAACTGACATTCCCAAGAGCCATGGTCTCAGCCACTTAGACTTGTTTATTAGCAGTTACATAATTGAATAGATGCGCTATTTACAGGCGATTCTCACCATGTTTGTGTGAATATAACAAGTGAATATGGCTACATGTACGTTTTGATGTAACGTAAACATGATGAATGAGAACTAAACTGTATCGATCTGAATAAGTATTTTAAAAAAATTATACTACCGAAATGGTTGTAATATTTAGAGAAATATTGTCCACAGTTCGATTAAAGAAATAAAATTTAAAAAACGTGTTTATGTAACAATATAATGGGTTAATCTGTCATAAAGGGAACTCATAGTCGAGTATTTATTGATAGAGTGAAGTTGTTCGTATAATCCACGCGTGAGAATCAGTTCACACTTTTGGTCGCATAGTACGAGTTTGAAACACTATAGTGTTATAGATATTGTAAACTCACATTTGCAACAAATATTATATAATCTATACTTTGGTAATATTCTTTTTATTGTTAAGTGTATCACCAATTTAACATAAAAGCTTAAGCTGAGATAGATTATAGGTCTAACGATAATGCGTTCTTGAGCTTATGACTTGGGCGATGTGCCCGGTCTTCGTGAAGCTTTACAATAATTTATTGGGTATGATATCATTCGTAGTCCACCTTTGGAGAGCATGTTATACTGGTACAGAAGTTGAGAAACACAGACGAAGCAATATTGACATTAACTCTAATATCGACAACGCAATTTTAATGTTAGTGAATACCTGACACAATAACATTTATATTTACGGTTACGTTCGAAAAAACAACTTTGTCATTTTAGGTTACATCCCACAAAATAGTTTTGATATTCAGTTTGTAAAACATTGTTTTAGTTCAATTTTAGGAATAATTACAGTTTCACAATACTAGAAAAACGTTCATCCATTCAGTAACCCAAACTTAGGTTGGCAAGAACTACATTTTGCTGGTGAACACTTCTATTATATTCTTCCTTAATATTCGGTCTGTGTTTAACAGACACCTAAATACTTCGGTACAATGTAATGAGCAATTGATTTCCGCTCGTGTTTTTATGAAGTTAACGCTTTGGTGATATAGTTAAGAAATGCTTTCAACCGGGGAACCTATGCAAAATGGGCTAGTTAATATTTCCGACAATACAATCAAGCTTAATTAGAATTTTGAAAATTAATGTTTTTAATTCCTTACGAATAAATAAGAACATGTGTATTATTTACACAGTTGCCTTATTCGGGTAACAATGAAAAACAAGTTACTGGGAATGGCAAGGCCCTCGCAAGTAGGGAGTCAGGGCCTAATCCTCGAGTTAGTATTTTATGTACTTCAAGAGGTGTGTCAAAAAATCTTGGCAGACAAACTGTTATTAATATTGATTTACCGAACACATAATTTGAGCTAGAGAATTTATGGGTTTTTAAATATGGTTATATGCTTGAACACATTTTGGGCCATGAATTATAAATGTCTAACTAATTGGTATTGTAAAGTATTCTAACAAGGTAACCATACTTTTATAACATAGAAAAATGAAACCTTCTTAAGTATAGGTAAACAATAAATTTACTACATACACATAATATTCACTACAAATATATGGTCAATATTCTGAGTGTTCTTTACACTTACAGTCCTAGATATGACAGTTAGATTATACTGATAAAAGGATGATAATAGTGATAATAATAAAACAATTTCATAGAAAGCTGCTAGATATTTTGATGATCATCTGGTGTAATATCAACCGGATGCTGCTTGATATATACATATTATGATAATCAGTGAGTGAAGTATGAAGTTGTGACGACAATTATGCTACACACCATGCGATAGTTCTTGAACATTACTGAAAAAAAAACGTTCATTCACATTCAGTACCCTCACCGAATTGCACCGTGCCAATTGCAAAGAAAAGATGCTTCTATTTATGAATAATAATCATGTATTAGAATTAACAACACAAGCGCAGCTGGCAAACTGTTTTTAACATCAAATACTATATTCGGATGCTTGATAGCTATAAAATACATTTTTGTATGTATGCGGTTTTTAGATCTACATTCTCATGATAACAAGCTGTCCCCAACGGTAATATCACGATACATAAGTTAACGTGTAATTCAAAACCCACTTAATGTTAAAATGTTACATAAATGACAGTCATACCTGCTTAGTTAAAAAGGTTTTACAGTGAATCCTAATGGCATGTCTTGTTTAATGCCTTTTAATGAAAGTGTAATAACAAAATCTTCGAGTGTGTCTTCCGCCACTCATGTCCTTAATGGACCAGCGGTTATTCTTCAAAAAGCTCATGAAGATACAATAGATAATTACCATCTCAAACATAAAACAAATTATCCACATATTTCTTGTTTTATAAGACATGATATCGTATCTTACTCTCGTGAGACTCTTTGAAATATTGTCTTGTTAAAAGGTTTGATGTTTCACACGACCTATATTTTAATGCGACACGTTAAATAAAAACTTACTCAGATCAATTCTGCTTTGCATTAATTTTTCAACATTAATTTTATCTTGAACATCATTGATAAACGTATATCTTTCTTTAAGCAATGTGTCATATTTTGTTTTGAATATTTTAAAATAGTTTATCCTTTAAAACATGTGCTACCGCGGCCGAGCGGTTAAGGTCTTTGACTCCAAACAAGTTAGGAACTCCGCTGGTTCTACTTAGATGTCCGTTCGTGACTGAAATAATTAACGAAGAGATACTTGAGGTCTTAAATCCCCTTTTAAAAAACTAAAACAAAACAAGCAAAAAAATTAAATAACAACCAAAGAGCACGTAATGTACATCAATGTCAGCAAACATTGTTGTTTTTAGAAATTACTAAATGCCAATACACCTTTTTCGGCCAGGCTTAAGAAAAATATGAGCCGCGTCATGACAAAACCAACATAGTGCGTGTGCGACCCACATGGATCCAGACGCAGGCTGGTCTGGATCCATGCTGGTCGCAAACCCATTATGTTGGTTTTGTCATGACGCGGCTCATATATACTATTAAAAATGGTATAAAGCGGATACGTATATACATGTATATATATACGGGTGTAACATTTTTTCAGGTCGCACGTAACATTTTAATTAATTGAGAACAACTGTACACAGTATTAATAACAATAGTTGTCTTTTACTACTTTTATGCAACAATTATATTAAAATGTTAAATAAAATTAGAAAAACTGTAGACAGTATTATTTACAATAGTTGTCTTTTACTACTTTTCAACTACAATTATATTAAATTATTTCAAGCATTTTCATCTTTAACAAATCATGCATGCTGTTTTAAATTATAAAATAATGAATCGTTGTATGTTGAGTGTCTAAATATGAAGATAAATTTATTTCGATAATCAACATAACCTATTCATGCTGATTTCCTTATATTATTTCATTTTCAAGTTACTTAGATTATACATGTAACAATTGTTACTACTCCCAAATTTAAAACGGCAAATCATAAACCCGTATAATTTTCCATAATATAAAATTGACTTAGGTGATGAATTTCATAATTTAAGCAATCATTTTTACGATGAAACCGAAGGAAGCTAGTTCATAACTATTTTTATTAGATACCCAAATGTCATTATTAGAAACTGTGAAACCCTGACATTTGTTAGCTTACTCTCAGCGTATATTATGAAACAATTTAAATCTTATTTTTGATTTTACTCAGTAAGTAACAGTAATGAAATACATGGGAATTTGTTCACGCTTTGCAGGTGCTGCATATTATCACAAAATAGAAAGTTAGATATCGCTGTCCTGATACTCAAGTGTATCTAAAGTTTGAAAATAAAACAATGTGTTTCCAGATTGTACTTGATTTTCTAGTCTATACTTAAAGTAAGAATGTTCCTTTTTTTCTGAGTCTTCGTCACATTTGTATTTATTTAGATGATTTTGTAATGTTTGTTGTTACAAATGTAACCTTGGCGAAATGAAACAACATTGTATTATGTTCTTTTGTTGATTTGCTTACATAAAATGGTTTGTTCCTTATTTCCTATTACTCTAACTTTTGAGCAATACCTTACGGATCGTGATCAATGTTTCTGTGTTGCATTAGCCAGTTAAGTATGGTTTTAGAAGGAAAGTATCTTAGATAATTACTTCTCATTAGCTGTTCCCATTTTAGTGCCTTGTTTCCAAAGCTACTTAATTACAATAAAGTAATGATGTTAAATAAACAATGTTCGACCGCATTATAACATCAACGTCAAGTATGAAGCAGCGACAATTTATAAATTTGCGGCTGTTTTTACAAGGTGATTTAATGTATCTGAAAATGGAATTATTTAGAAAGTAAAGAAAAAAACACTTAATTACATTTTGTATTTGCTTTGATAAACGATCTGATTTTAGAGCTGATATAAAGCAAGACAAATGTAAGTATTTGAAAACTATTGTAAATTTGTTTGATGTCAATATATTTTCAAATCTATTTAGACTGTTGTATGATCCATGAACTAAATAGCTAAACTAATTAAATACATTAATAGATTATACGTTATGTAACTTATCTTTGTAAAAACGCATCGCAAAAATAAAATTTTGTTTGTTTGTTGTTTTTTTTATCCTAAAATCAGTAGCATAACCAGTAATATGAACAATGATAACCAAATGTTACACACAAAAAATTGAATAGTACAATCAAAATAGTTATAACAAGTTTTTTTAAAAAAAGAGAAAAACACTCAAATTAAGGACAGCTTAAGAAAATATCATACATAAAACCAGGCCAGACTCAGTGTTTCCATGTGTTTTTCGTTCACTAGCATTGTTTGTTCACCGGTAATGGTTGTAGTTTATTTATACAAAAATTTTTGTGTAAAAATATATTGTATTCTAAACGTGTTTGAATGTAATATATATTTATAAATACTCAATAAGCAAATTATCACAAATCTTAAGAAAATAATTTATGACATTTATAAATTATTAACAACTGAACATGGAAGTGTAGGGCCAGAACAGTTGCGTATTGTATTTCACCTGCTACACTTACTAAAACGATATTGTCTTAGTGTACTGGATGTGCACGACGCGAACAAGACTAAAGTCTTACATTTTATTTTCGTAAAAAAACTTTTTTTACGATAGTTTTTGAAGGAAACCTTACATACTTTGTCTTAACCATGTCATTCGCTAAAACAATTGTTGAGTGTTAATTACCTCTTTAATTGACTCGTAAACCTTTTTTTATAAGGAAGATGAAACAACCTATAATATACAAATTGTAACAACACGCCCAAAGAACGATAAACAGGCATATTAATTTAAAGTACTCCTTTTTCTTTCAAAAGAATTCAGCACGGAACCGTAATATGGTCTTAATTAAACCTGTTCACCTGCTAAAATTCCGTTTTTTTATATAGAATTTTGTTTAAACATAGAAAAACACTAACATTCCTACAATGATAAATATGAACTATGCAGTTGATTAAGATTTACTGAAAATAGGTTAAGTAATAATAACACATCAAAATAATTATAGGATTATTTTCTTGTTCGATGCATTTGATATCATCACATTACGCAAATAGTGTCAAGTGATACGTGTTTTATATTTTCATTTTCATTTGGATGATAATGATAAGAGATGTTTGATAATGGTAAGAGATGTTAGGAAAAACTACTAGATGTATATGTACATGTTGTATATGTAATATTGTTATTGAATCAGCATGCTCCTTTATTTTTCAACTATACGTTTACCTTTATTTACCTTAATACTATACATAGTTTTGTATTTCAAATGAATTTCAACCTTGGGCCTATCACCAGGCACATACTTACCAAATATTTAGAAGCTTGTCTTTATAAAGATTTTAGATAACTGTTCTTCTCCATTGTACCGCAAATGTTGATGAAATAAAACAGAAGTATGTTATATAATATTCTAAACCCATTTATGCCAATACCAATATTAAATCAAGCATTGTACTTAGATGTTGTAAGTTGTTTATCTATATTATTGATAAAAACAATAAATAACTTAAAAGCATCATATTGTGCATTCTCACTGACCAGTCATGTCTGCGGATGTTTCTGAATTCTACATTTCGCCATTTTACTGTTTAAATGCTTAGTACTTCTACTTAAGCCAGTGCTATTGGGCGTGAACGGTAAATTGCACTTTCCTGTACCGTCCATAAACAGGTTCAATCAAACAAAACCTGCAACATTTTCAATTTTATCGTTTTATGCGTTCTTTAGGGATTCCGTTTTTATCTATTCTATTATATCATGTGGGATAAATAAAGGTATTTCAG